CCCTCCCTCCCCCCGCGCGACTTTTGCAACCGTTTCAAGTTCAAAATCCCCATCTCACAGCTCCACAGCTTGCCAGCTCCAACTGGCAAGTGCGCAACCCTAGCTGCTGCTGCCACCAACGTCCCCCTCCCCCCGCTAATGTTCTTCCTGAACAACAGCCCCCTCGCTCGTAACGCAAAGCACCTCCTTTCTCGCGCTAATTCCTTCCTTTTCAAATTCCTTGCCAATCGTTTCGCAGATGCTCTCCAGATTGTGCGTGGCTAGAGCTAGGATTGTGGGACCTGCTCCGGAGAGGCATATGCCTAGTAGACCTGGGTGGGTGCTTGGTGTGACAGAGGAGAGGATGCGCGGAAGACCTGGGATCTGGCAGCGCGGCGCAAGGGGGAAAGCAGGGGGGATTTGCAGGGCGCACGGAGAGTTAGGGTTTGCAGGCCAAGCGCGCATCAATTCAGCAAGGGCTTGCAGGTTGCAGGGTTTTGAGACACGTCGCTCCTTCGCGGCTCCACAGCACTATTTTTCCACCCCCCGCAGCCCGGTCACTAGACCCCCTTGCTCGACTCACCAGCTCTTTACGATAAGGTTGATGAACGCGATCTTGCATCGCTTGAAAGATGAGGTAGGCATCGGGAGGAGAACGTGCTAGTGCGGTGGTGAGGACGGCAAGTCTTTGTAGATTGAAAATCTTTGGCGTGAGATCGCAGAGTGTAGAGCGGGAGGAAGGGGGGGGGGGAGAGAGAGAGACAGGAGAGTAAGCAAGCGGCGCATCACAATTCGAGCAAGCATCCAAGGTGCATGTTGGCTATGCTGCCCCCGCACTCACTAGATCCGCCTTGGAGTAAGTGTCGGGCAGAGCGCTCCTTGCTAATGCAGTCGACACTTCGAAGTCGGGAATGATGGCGATGACTTTGATCTCCTGAGCCCATCCAAATCGAATGTAATGACCTATGCCGGTGGGAGGACCGTTGGGATTGGGACCCCAATGAGCGCTAGCATCGTCGGGCCAGGCGGGCAAGACCTCGCTGAGAGGCACATCCACTTTTGCCCTCTCTTCCTTTGAGAGGTCCAAGAGGTAAGAGCCTACAAATCCGCCCATCAATGCTGCGGTCACATTGTCCGGATGACGTTCGATCATGAGCGCATGATCCAACAATCTATCCCTGCTCAATCTCAATCCGCCCAACGCGTCGCCCAGGATGATGCCAGCTACGACGGCCGCACCCGAACTGCCCAATCCTCGTCCGAATGGGATCTCGTTGTGCACGTGGATGGAGATGCCGGGTTGGAATAGCGGACCTTTACCATTCGCTCGCAGAACGTAGAGCGCGCAACGGGTGATGAGGTTCTTGTAGGGATCCAGAGGCGCATCGTCAGATCCAATGCCCGTATAGTGTAGGATTGGATGCTGGTTAGAGGTGGAGGAGGTGGAGGAGGAGGTGGAGGTGGAATGGTTGGAGATGCGTACTTGAAGCGTGAGGTAGAGCGAGAGGGATAGGCCCACCACGTCGAATCCTGGACCTATGTTGGATGAGGTGCAAGGTACGCGAATACTGAATCTGCGATCAGCAGCAGTGGGTGCACCCAGCTCGAGGGAGGAGGAGGAGGAAGATGTCGTCATCGCAAAGCCGAGCCCGGAGAGTGGCTGGTGTGGTGTGATGTGGTGTGATGTGGTGTGGTGTGGTGTGGTGTGGTGTGGTGTGGTGTGCTATCCAGTGCCCTGCTTGAGGGCAGATGGTGGATGTGTGCGCGAATGTGAATCTCGAATCGTGGCTCTTTGAATCCTTGAGATCACAATCCGTTATTCGGTGATTTCACATTCAACGCGATTCCCGTTTAAGTGAATATCGTCGCGGTTTTTGACTTCTCGCCTGCCCGCCGTCCTGCCTTCTATTCAAAATTCAAATTCGTGATTCTTCCTCCCGCGTGACCTGCGACTCGCTGCACTGCGTGGCGCCAGGGAAGCATCACGTGATGCCCTATGTGGCTCGTTGGCGCAAGGGCCGTGCACATTGGCGCTCGTACGCACGATGTTCTTGATTCGCGCTCACTCACGCACGCCTCCTCGCCACACGACAATCCATCCACATCCTCAAGGGGCCGACTTGACGCATATTTCTGCAACAGAGCGTGCACAAGAGTCCAAGCACAGAGTCGAGATTGTGTTAGGTGCATGCAGCTCACGATCTGCAGGCAAGTCGAGTGTCCATGTTGCCCATGCACACCATCCATCTGGACTCCAAGCAGATCAACACGTTGGGCTCGCGCTCGAGCTCGGGCCCTTCATCCTCTTCTCCTCAAGCCCATGCTCACGCTCAACCCGAAGCGGGCTCATACCGCTCAGGCTACTCCAAAGTTCCGCTTTCGGAGGTCATCATGGGTTCAAGCTCAAGCTCAAGCTCAAACTTTGGGACTGGAAAGGATAAAGCTGCAAGTGGAGGATTTTGGGCAATGTTGAGTGGTAGTAGAGGAATAGCGTCTTTTACCATCGATACGTCATTGGCGCCTTCGGACGTCGATGTGGCAGGTCAGGCAAGTGCTATGGACGGCTCAGATCACGATAGAGGCGCATACATGCCCATGAGCTCGCACATCTCTCGAAGATCCCTCCATCACTTTCCTTCAGACACTTTTCCATCCACGCATCAACGGATCGCCTCTGCCCGCTTCAACCCTTCGCCCCGTGCGTCAGGTTCAGATCACAAGCCGCACACCTCGCTAGCTTCGACGCAGAGAGTGGCTAGGAACACACGGGAAACCAGAAATCCGGCAAAGAGCAGATGGAAGAGCTGGGAATTTCGAGCGTACTTGTTGGTATTTCTGATCGTGGTGCCTTACATGGTCTGGGTACCTGTTCAGCTCAGTCAGGGTGAGTCGAAGCGCAAATTTCGACAAGGGGCAGTGGAGGCTAGTATGCATTGGGCAAGGGCGCTTGCTTGCTTGCTGCCATGGCGAGCATCATCGCGCAATGCTACGAGCTCTGAGCAAGCTCGGCTAAATTTGATAATCATGCGATTGACCTACGTGCTTCCCCACATTAGAAACGAATCCAAACTATCCGCGCTTCTCCTCTCACCTCAAGAGGGGCTGGATCGCTGGCAGGATGAGAGTGAGCAGACAAGATACGAGCCGGCTAGCACGACTCGAATCAGGTCTCATGCGCTTTCAGCAAGCTCACATCTATGCCCCCTCCTTTGGTTCAACAGGACGACTCGGATTTCCAATACCGCTCCTTTAGAGACTACTTTCCCTTGCTGCTAGGTCTCGCTTTGGGCCACACGGGCCTCTCCAAATCGGTCGCGATGCTATTCGACAGGCCTACGGAGTTGACGCGCTCCGCAAGTCCAAACACACACCCTTCCCGACGCATCTTTTTGGGCCTCTTTACGGGCCTCTTCATCCTGGCGCTGCACGGGAGCAACGCTGTCAAGCTGCTCCTTCTGCTCGCGTTCAATTTTGTGCTTGCACGAACATGCGCGGGCAAAGTGTACGCTCCGATCTTGATCTGGACTATCAATATAGGGGCGCTCTTCTTGGTTCATTGGAACGAAGGTTTCGCCTGGTCCGTTTGGACGCCAGCTTTGGGCTTTTTGGACAATTACACCGGTCTATTACCTCGCTGGCAAATCAACTTTAACATTTCCATGCTCAGATTGGTCTCTTTTGCAATGGATCTGCACTGGGCCAGATTGCGACCCGTGAGGCTTTACGAGCCTTCTCCGCCCGCTTCTAAGCGCTCATCGACACCTTTGAAGAGGGATCAGTACAGCTGGTCAGCCTACCTGCTCTACATTCTCTATCCTCCGCTCTTCGTTGCAGGTCCCATCATGACCTTCAACGACTTTACGCGACAAGTCGCGCAGAGAGATTGCCAGCCTCATTTGACTCTCAGGGACAGAGCGGCTTATGCAGTCAGGTTTGTCGCCTGCTTGTTCACGATGGAACTCATACTGCATTTTGTGTATGTGAATGCGATCAAGGATTCGAAGGCTTGGAACGGAGCTACACCGATGCAATTATCCATGATCGGATTTTGGAACCTGATCATCGTCTGGCTCAAGGTGAGTGGGTGCCGCGGCGCGCGCGCCGCACAGCAATTTCGTCTCTTGCTGACTTGGAAATGTTGCCCCTGTCTGCTTTCTGATACGACGCGAATCGATGACGCGCGCTCGTCCCCCCACACAACAGCTGCTCATCCCTTGGCGCTTCTTCAGGATGTGGGCGCTGCTGGATGGTGTGGAAGCGCCGGAGAATATGGTTAGGTGCATGGCCAACAATTATTCGACGCTGGGCTTTTGGAGGAGTTGGCATAGGAGTTACAATTTGTGGATAGTCCGGTGAGAAACGAGTAGGCATCGTTTGATGACGACTGTTGCTCAGCGAGGTCTGGAGTGCTGGACTGACAGCTGGAAGACGTTCCTTGCTTCCCTACCTTTCCTACTTTCTGATGCGCTGGTCATTTGACGCATTGCTACGCCATTCTGCTGCACGAACAGGTACATTTATGTACCCCTTGGAGGCTCATCCAACGTCGTGCTCGCCACGCTCCTCGTCTTCACCTTTGTGGCACTTTGGCACGATCTCAGTTTGAAATTGCTCACATGGGGATGGTTGGTCACGCTCTTCATCATTCCAGAATTGGCCGCTTCCAAAGTGTTGCCTGCCAAAAAGGTGCGTCTTGATGGAGTTCTCGCATATGATAAAGGGAGATTAATTCGCAGCTGTTCGGATCTTATTGCCGGTGAAGGCCGTTCCTCTACTGCCCACCTCTTTGTGCGTACCGTCAACCCCCCTTTTTTTGCTGACCATTGGCTATTCCGATCGCCCTTGGACCTTAGTTTGGCGAAAGATCATGGTACAGGCATGTATGCGCCGTTGGCGGAGTACTCAATATCCTCCTCATGATGAGCGCCAACCTGGTAGGCTTTGCCATAGGTCTGGACGGAGTTCAATACCTGCTCAATCAGCTCGTCGGCAGCTGGAACGGTGAGTTGCTTTTGCTTTCTCCCCTCGCTCGAACTTGATGGGACCATGCGACGACGAAGCGTGAATCCAAGCGGATTCGATCTCGGGTGGACGTGCCTCCATCGATGCTTACTGTCAGCTTGCCTTTGCATCCTCCTACCGACACGACAGGACTCAAATTCATGCTGGGCGCATGCACCGCCCTCTTTTGCGCCGTGCACGTCATGTTCGAGTACAGGTGCGTCTAGCTGCATCACAAACGTCTATGCGCGAGAGTTCGCTGATGCGCAACATTTCCCCCACTTGCGCAATCCCCCCTCCCTTTCCATCCTCCCATCTTGGCCCATACATTCGCCACCGCATTCTGGCGCTGATTTCCCGCTTACTCGCGCGCGCGCGATGTGAACTTAGGGAGGAAGAGCTCAGGCATGGTATTTCGAGAAAATGTTAGCTGCGCGCACGAGCCGGACGAAGGCTGCTGCACAATTTCTTTTCGCTTTGGCCGTCCGCACCGCAATGCATGTCACCCCGATGGCCCCCTCCATTCGACGTGGTCCGCGCGTCGTTTGCATGCCGCCACATGCTTGCTTCAGACGTTATCGTCGTGCCCTTCGCCTTCGCGCGCGCTCGCGAATCAAGAATCGCAAAAGCATGCGCTTCTATTACAACCACGAATCGAATCGTGAGACGGTGGAGTCTGATGCCAGGACGGTATTCGATGGTGTGAACCTCGGGATGTAGAGGAGGGACAAAGGTGCATCTTGGTCGACGGGCCAAAAGCGACCCAGAGCGTTGTCCAGATGATTCCCTTGTTCCTCGCAATCGCACAGTGCAGAAATTGCACTTCGACACCTTGGCACAACGAGGGGTCGATACGAACGGTACGACAAAGCACCTGCGAGGGGATACGTGGAAAGGAAGAACAAAAGGTGAAATGATGTGAGGTGCGGGAGGGGTTGAGACAGGTGTGCGGCACGCAAGCACGAGTCAGCCAAGCGCCTCACTGCGATCATTGCAAGTCGATGCCAAACGAAATCAAGTCCAAGCAAGCTGTGCAAGATCCACGCGAGAGGGGCGAAGCAAGAGTCGCGCGCCCGCGCCCGCGCGCAAAGTCCCTTCTTCGAAAGACGCAACATTGCCCCAATGACGCGCCTGCAACAGTGTGGGTCTCCCTTCAGAAACCAAGAGTAGTCACGCGTCGAGTTCCCACTTCCACCCTCGAAAGAGGGTACAAGAGGCGCCATCGATTGCACTGAAGCCTCGAGGGGAAAGAAACACTCTTCCTCTCTCGGCATCCTCCTCTCCAATCTCCACGACCTTAAGCGAGGGAGAATCACCAGAAAACGATCCCAAAGACGTGTCGTTCGCGTCCCATGACCAGGGGATCGTTCGATGCAAAGTCGTGGAAGATGGAGGAGACCCTGACGCTCCGAAAGGAGCGTGCAACATCTTCATCTGTCTGCTTTGAGACAAGGTTCGCAAGACAACCCTAAGGTGATTCCCCACATTTCGACTTTTCGTCATCTATCTCTTGACCCTATCCGAGCTGCATGTCAGCCGCGTCCTCTTCCCGCCGAGCACCTCCGAACGACAACGACGAGTCCGCGCCACTAAGGGAGGCCCAACTCAATTTCATTCTCTATAGTGGGATGATGCCACGTTCCCGCCACCCGACCCCGTCAAGCCTCGCGACTGTCGTTCTCCGCAGAAGAAGAGCGACCCGCTCGGTACAATCCTTCCCTTGGTCAATCACGGTCCCGAACAGGACCGCTTCCAAGCCGCAACATCCTCGCACAGAAGGAAGTGCTCGACGACACGAGGATCGTTACTAAGAGACCGAACATTGTGTCCCGTTCTGCGCCTCTTCCATACCCCTCGTCCGCCCAAAGCGTTGAGGAAAGGGTGGGTGAGACCCAATGACAAGGGGTGGCGTCTTGGGCCATAGTCGAGCGGGCACGTCCGATTTCAGTCGTACCAATCTCTGTGCGGAGCAGCGGTGCGAGGGCCGCTAGAGGCCCTCGATGAGAAGAAAACAGCCGACGGAACGAGGAGAATGCGCTTCGCAGTGATGCAGTGATCTGACTGATCTCCAGGGAGACAGGCCAGACCCCCTTTCCTCACATTCATTTTGACGAGTCGCGTGTTTGGTGTACGGCAACGTGGATCCCTTGCGCCAAGTCCGTGCCCCTCGTCACGAGCAATAGCACACCCCGAAGAGCGCACCAAGCACTCGCATCGAGCGGCCAAGACCGAGCACAATCAGCGAGAGGCATTTCTGGTGTGAGCATGACCTCAGCGACCTTTGGGTGCTAGCCCAGCTAGAGCATTGTGTGGCGTGACACGAGACTCCCAGAGGTGCCGCGAAAGGCAGAGAAGAAGAGCGAGACCAACGGAGCCCATCTTCGGGTTTCCAAACGAGTATGATGACCAAGCCTCGTATAATCGAGCTCTGCGAACACTGACAAAGACGTCCGCGCAGGTGACATCACGACACGCCTCCGAAGAGGCGAGGCGACGTGCTTGATACCTGCACGAAGGGGAGGAGGAGTACGCGGACCTTCCCACTCGCACGCATGTCCCAAATCGACATGAGCGAGTATCGATGGCCTTTGGACTGAAGGGAGAGACTACTGCAGTGCGGCCGAGGCAGGGTGGGGCGGTGCGACACACCTAATGTCGCAAGCGATGACGCCAAGGCGACAATCCGGTCCGCCACACGCACAATGCTGATCTTGCCCCGAACGCTTTCTGTGGGCATCCTAATGGCGACAAGACTCAGCTATGCCGTGCGCGCGCAGAGAGCGAGCCAAAAACTCGGCCTTGAACATTCGAACGGATACGAAATGAAAGAATTGTCCCAAGGCCCGCGGGACCTTGCTACCGCTCCTTGCGGAGCGATGAACAAGCAAGGGCTCTCGACGCGTGAAGCAGCCGAGAGCCATACCGCAAAACGAGCGCATGAGGATCGTGGATTACTCTTCCTCTCCAGCGAGCACCTGCGCATCCTTGGAAAACTTTGATAGGAGCACAAGCGACTCTAAAGCCGGGAGGGTACTGCCGAAACCAGACCAAAAGCGAAACGAGGCACAGAATTGCGAGCCGAAGAGAAGAGAAAGTACTTACGGCTGCGTGAGGGGCATCGTTGCACTTGTGTGCATCATCTACCTCTTCTTGGCGTAAGCGTTCCCGAAACCTCCATTCCGCCGCAAGGTGCCACCTATAGCACCGCCCATCTTGTGATGGTGCTTCCAATCGTCGTGCTTGACGTTGTTGGCCAGGAGACGATCTTTGCGATGTCCAATCTCGACGGGCACAGTGTCTTCTGACGCTTTTTTGAGTCTGCAAGGGCGCGACCCGATGTATTTGCCTGAAGAGGAGTTGAGGAGCTCGTGAGCGGCCATGCGGCGGCGCAATGGATTCTCACACCTCAAGGTGGGATGTGCTTACCGTCCATCTCTTTCCACGCCTTTAGAAAGTCCTCTGGATCCGCGAACGCGACAAATCCATACCCTTTAGACTTGCTGTCCGATTTTTTTCGAATGACTCTGGCTTTGCTGAACGAAGGGTATTTCTGAAAGGCTGCAGTGAGAACGCCATCGGAGACGTCATTGCCCAGATCGCCGACGAATAAGCGTTTGTGCTCTGAGTAAGATCGAGGATAGATGGGTGATGAGCGCTTGAAATTGGCGCACATAATCCAAGGCACTTGGTGACTCACTCGGATCCCATTCCAGCAGCGTTTGATCCTCGTACAATTTGCCCACGGCTTTTCTGAGCACAGTCTGACGCGTCTCTCCTCTCTTCAATTGTCCAGCAAGCTGATTGCCATCCTTATCTTTTGGTCCGATCTGGCGCTTCTCCTTCTTGGCTTTGCCGCTCGACGGATCCAAGGCCGCATCGGCCCCATGCCCTTGAGGCGCTGACCACTGCGCAGATGAGGATGCCCCGACACCCGAGAAAGCGCTGCCTGGTGCGCTCCCATAAGCTGAGGATTGCGTGGCGTATGCTGAAGCGTCGTACGGAGCGCCTTGATGCGCAGAGGATGAGCCAGGCAGCCCTTGGGGATAAGCCGCGTAAAAAGCATCATAGTTGAATGCCCAATTGTTGCTGTTCTGATCCCAATAGCTGAGGATGAGAGCGAGGATGGAGAGGCACAGGAGAACGTGGGCACTGTCAGCTACAGGCATCACTGAGAACAGACAGAGAGTGTACGTGCACAGGCGCTTGCGCCAGCGTCAGCTCTGAGTAGGCATACACGCTCTTCTGCTTCGCTGATGCAGCGCACATACTCACTAGAATGCCGCGTAGGGATCTTGACCCTGACCCTGAGCCGAGGACATGGTTGATGGCGCAGGGAGAGGCGCGTGGGGGTGCAAAATGGTGGACGTGGCGGTGGCTGTTGGGTGATGGTAAACTTGCGTCTCAGGGTCGCCGAGTCAACCGCGAGTAGCCAGAGCTGGAAGGAGCTGTTAAAGTGTGACTGTCAAAGGCGCGAGGCATGGAGTGGACAGGCAAATGCAGGTTTCTGAATCGAATGTACGGTGGGGAGACGGTCCAGCAAGTGGGCGCGAGCATGGATGGGCAGGCGTACAAGATTCCGTGCGACCGCAGGCGCACAACAATGTGAATCACCAATCAAAATCGTGAATCGTTAATACAGGCTTCGCTCAGCCAGCTCGTGACTCGTAGTCAAAGTGCATGGCGAGTGCGACCTCACACACACACCAGCTCAGTCTGAGCTCGAAAGTTCTCGTCGTTTATGCGCGTGCATACCTCGCACGAGAGCCAGCGACAAGCGTTTGTCACGTGGCAGTCGCGCGCGCTATCATCCAGGAGAACGATTTGATTATGATTGCAACGCTCTTGACTGTGACTCGGCTCAAACTCATCGGTCTGCAACCTCATATCGTATGCATGGAGCAATTGACCATGAAATTGGTCTCTCACATTAGCACAGAAGCCTTGTGTTGAGCTTGCATACATGCGTGAAGGTGTGATTTTTTGGGCTTGTTGAGGAAAGGGGGCACCCCGAAAATGTTAGTATTACAACTCGGGTTGTTGGAACTTCGCCGCATGCCTCTTTGGGGTTTTCAAAAGGCATTCACCAAAGGTGCCGAACGACGAGGGCCAGACGACAATGGGGGGACAAAGGGAAGACATTACTGTTGCCAGCAGAGCACCCGCAAAGAAGGAAAAGAGAGGAGCGGGATGCGCCAATGTGGCGACGCATCGACTGGTGCGCTACTCGGCGAGGACACTTAGTCCCAGCCGGAAGCTTGCTGACCACCAGCGGCAGCGCCGTCAGCGGCCCAGTCTTGCGCATCGCCATCAGCGGCCCAGTCTACCTTTTCTCCAGCAGGTGCACCGCCCTGAGCAGCAGTGAGTGCGATGGAGCTGGGTCCAACGCCTCCCAAATCGACTTCCTGGTCTCCGACCGTCTCGATTGGAGCGTTCTTCTCTGCCAAAGCAGCCGCAGCTTCGTTCGCCTCTTGCTCAATCTCTTGAGGGTCGCGGTAGAAGAACATGTCCACCATGACTCCCCAACCGTCAGGAGTGCGAGGGATGGTTCCGCGAAGACGCAGGATTTCGCGAGCCAACAACCACCAGAGAAGACCGACAGAGTGCTTGGACTTGTTGTTACCTGGAATGGCAACGTCGACGTGACGCAAAGGAGCGTCGGTGTCGCACAGAGCAATGACGGGAATGTTGACGTAAGAAGCCTCGCGAATAGCTTGGTGGTCGACGCGAGGGTCAGTCACCACGATGATTCTGGGCTCCTTGAACGATCGGGTGATGTAGTTGGTGAAGGAACCGGGCGTGAAACGACCGGCAATGGCAGTAGCACCAGTGTTGGATGCGAACTTGAGCACAGCTCGGTGTCCGTATTGACGACCAGAGAGCACCACAATGTCGGCTGGGTTCTCAATGGCAGCGAGGATACGAGCAGCGAAGACGATCTTCTCCCAGGTCTTGCCGAGGTTAAGCAAGTGAATACCTGTCGATGAGTCGAGATGTTGGACAGAGTCAGCCAAGCGCTTGACAGCCAACGTGTGCGCCAAGCTTCTGGCTTTGATGCGACCAGCAGCACCAGCAGCACCAGCAGCACCCACTGCTCCAATCTCCTACCACGTCAATGGATCCAGTCTTGCGCGGCGGGCCATGCCCAACATCTCCCGTCAAGCTTATCATGCTGCTTTCTCTGCTTTGACCAGGCTGCTGATTTGCCGCACGACTCACCATCTGCTCTGCGCTTGTAGACGTAAGGCAGCATAGCCTTCTCCACCTGCTTACCACCAATGTGGGTCTGAGCGGCCAGAAGGAGGCTGATGTCCTCCTCCGTAGCGTCCAAAACGGATGGCAGCTTAGAAGTCATCCTTGCGCAGTGTGTCGGGTCGGACGTAAGATATGTGGTGGTGCTGTTTGTTCAAAGTCGAAACTCAGAAAAGCAAAGAAAAAGAGCCCCGAGAATCCAAGTGTCGTGAGGGATCGAAAGGCAAGATGAAGCGCCGCTTCAGCTGCTCACCACTTGCTGTCTGTACCTTGGCGCTCTCATCAGCTGCGAACCTGCGCGCACATAGCCTGCCTGCCTGATCCTGAGTGGACGCGCCGCGCCCTCGAGAAGAATGCAGGCAGGCGTTTGACGAGAAACCACGTGGCAAGAATAGACCGCGGCGATCGCGCGCTGTGCACGCAGGCAGCAAGCATGCCGCGAGTGAGGGGCGCGGCCCTGGCACGCCTCACCGCAGCAGTCGCGCCTCGCCTCTGCCCCAGGCGGTCAGAATTTCGGCTCTGCTGAGCAGCCTACCCGTGAGTGGCTCGTGACTGTGACTGTAACTCAGACTGTCGTGACTGTGACTCGAGTGTGTTTCCAAGTGCCTGCAAACTGACCCAACCTTTCAACGTGCTCCATCACCACACCACACCATACACATCGTCATCGGCACACTCTTTTCAAGATGGTTAGTACTGCATTCACGCGAGAGCTGTGCTGCATCATCAGCAATTCATCTCGCCACCATGCGCAGCTGCATGACCAGCTGTTCATAGTCGTGTAAACCTGCCCAGCCGACGAGCTATCAGGTCCTGCGTAGCCGGGCTCTTTGCGACAGGAGGAGGTTCGGTGGAGGTAGTCAAGGCGCGATTGGACAGGCGTCGAGCACGGGTGGGATATCAGAGACGGCGATTGGTGGAGGCGAACGCCTAGTGCTACACAGCTGGCAAGTCCGAAGCCTTCGACCCCACGTACGGGAAAAGATCCAGCTTGTTCTGCGGCACGATGGCCCGAGACTTGATCGCAGAACACGTCCGTCGAGCATCACATCGTTTCCGTCGTGCTTCCCTGTCCTCGCAGCTGGTACAAGTAAGGAGTACACAAGCTTACGCTCCGACCGCGCACCTTCTCACCCCTGCACAGCCGTCTCAAAAGTCTTTCCGCACCAAGTCCAAGCTGGCAAAGGCCGCTCGTCAAAACAGGTGAGCGAGCGCTATCTCGCGCACGTAGGCTGAAATTGCAAGTCGACTCGTCATCTGACACGCCACTTCCGCAACCACTGCGAACGTCATCTCCACCTTCAGGCCTATTCCTTCTTGGTTCAGAATGAAGACTGGAAACAAGATCCAGTACAACGCTAAGCGTAGACACTGGCGCCGCACGAAGCTTGGACGTGAGTACGCATTATATGTAGGGGGAGCGACGATGGCACTTGCAGACAATCGGCGAGGGTCGCACTTGTAGGGGAGAGGATTTTGCTTGCGTAGATGCTTGCATCGAGCGGTGGGTGGTTTGCGCAAGCGAGTAAGGCAGAGCAAGCCGGCCGACGCTTGGTGAAATACGGCGCGTTGCTCCTTCCATCGACATGGTCGTACCCGAACCCATCAGCGCGCACTCTCAACCTTCAATTCGAGCACTGGTGCTAACCCGCATCTTTCCATGCCTTACCATTACCACAGTCTAAACCGCTCGACGCTCCCACAAGAAAAGGCTCCAATTTCCCCGATTGCTCGAGCCATCGAAACTTGGTCATCATCTCATTGTTGCAAGTTCGATGACTCAATAAGTAGCGAATCCTGTATCAACGTCAACAACAGACATGCTCATGCCGTCCAAGCGCAATCCATAGCATCCCCTTCAACGACCCTTCCAAATTGCGCCACATCGCGTCATCACGTCGGCATTTCTTCCGGTCAATGCCAGTCGTTTGTCATCTGTCGCTTTAATCTGGTAGGTATAGAGGCGATATGTGTGTCATTCGAACACGGAGCCGGTGCAGCATGAGCCATGGTGACGAAAGTGTGGTGAATCGAGAGGGCTTAGAGAAACGCGCTTGCGAGGACGCAGGAACAGCAGGCGTGTCAACGAGATGTGATCAGAAGCGCAAAAGGAACGTGTAGTATTATATGTGCATGGGCAGGAGTGTACGCATCAGTGGAAACGCAAGGGGTCTGGTCCATGGCAAAGTCCACAGCGTCTACTCCCACACTCGGATCGTTCCGCTCGCATCTCCCGCGACGACGCATCGGAATGGCGACTCGATGACGTTCAAAGCAGTGATAGCGTCTTTGTGAGCCCTCATGAGACTCTGAGCTTCCGTCTGCTGGTGCGTCAGTAGAGGCGAACGGGCAGGTGCAGTGGATTTCTGAGCAGCTGCGCTCGAATGGCTTCCGCCGCCTCCGCTCGAATTTGTTCTCTGCTTGTGCTGCGATTGCGGGAGTGTGTGGATGTGTAGAGTCACTGGCGCGCCATCGGACGTGCTGGTGTGCGACCTGCGCCAGAGACGAGAAAACGCAAACACGTGTAAGCCGAGGTTGGCTTCTCACGGACCACATCGACTCACCAAAATTCTCCGCGCTCTTCTCCACTGGCAAAGGAAACGCTCTTCTCCACTCTTCCAAGATCCCAAAATCGCAAAGTCCGATCAGCACCACCGCTCAGCATGTAGCCCGCCGGACCTTCGCGTTGCGCTGTGCCCGTTGGGCCGCTGTACTCATTCGTTTGCGCTTCGTCGCTGGCCAGTTTACCCGCATCGACCCACCCGCCAGGCACGTGCGAGGCGGGCGCGCTAGAAGTGTAGCCTTCCAACGAGACGTAGAGAGCCTTGGCGCTGGGGACCTGCGTGGCAACGTCTTGCAAAGACGCTGCTGCGACCTCCGCGTGCGCAGAGGTGGCCTCCGCATCCAGTTGGGAAGGCGCGGTCGTTCGCGCTTCGAGCGATGCTTCCTGCAACTTCACGAAGCGTTCGATGGCTTGAGCGGCGCTGCCTAGACCGCCAGCGTGAGGGCCGCTTGCTGCGCTTTGCAACGGTGTGAGGGACTGTGCTCCTTTTGCCTCTGTCCCGTCCGCACTGCCCCCTCGCACATGCCGCAGTGATCGCTGCTGAGCTTCTTCCGAACTTGTTGAGGCTTGGCTGCGCTGTCCGTTACCTGGTTTGCGATCGCTCGTCACATCAAAGCTCTCCACCTTCTGGCACTTGTCAATGTCCCAAATCTCCACCATCGGATCCGCAGTCGCAGCAGCGGCCTCCGGCGTTCCGATATCTGCAATCGAGTATCCTTGCGCGGCTGCCCGCCCAGCTGAATGGTCGCCTATCCTCTCGAACGCAACCAGCACGAGCCGGCCCCTACCTTTGCTTGGGTGGGGAATGACACGATTGATGCGCACGACTGCCGCTCGTTGATGATCCAGGCGTTTGGCTGCTTCTGTGCCCTCTGGAACCCCAATTCTCCAGCTCTTGAGTAGCAAGGAAAATCGAAGGTCCCACAGCGCCAGTACCCCGCCGAGTGTGCCAACAAGCAACCATATGTTTCTTTTGTCCGAGCACATGCAAGTGATGGGGCCGAAGTGCGAAGGATTGCTCAGCGTCTGAAGAACTTGCATTGTGCGGAGATCGAGAATGGTGATTTTCGAAGCGCTGGTACCCAGGATGAGCGTAGCGATTCCAGTCTCTGCCGTATGCGACGAGCTGACCGCACTAGTCACTGAGCTCTGTAAAAGACATAGCGCATGTTCACCAGGTCGAGAAAGTTGGAAATTCGAGACAAGTCGCAATTTCCCGTACTTTGGCAAAGAAGAGGCAGCGTTGACGTCGACTCGCACAATGTGCACGCTTCCATCCATCGATGCGCTAGCGACGCAGTGTGTGCCCTCGAGTATCGTCAGTGCTGTGACTCCGCCGCTCTGTGCAGAATAGGTCGCGCGAGAGTGCGAAGTGACGTTCTTCTCCAAGCGAGCAGTATCCCACACTTTGAGAGTGCCATCCATCGAGCCAGAGACAAAAAAGGCTTGGTCTGGAGAAACAACGATGCCGCTGACGGAGGCGGTGTGCTCGGTAAAGTAGGCCACTAAGCTCCCCTCCGGTCGCCTGTTGCTACCGCCCGAGCTTGTAGTGCGCGAAGTTGCAGAAGCTGCGCGCATGCCACGGCGGCGTGATGAAGGACCAAAGCCTGCCGGAACATTAGGACCCCAGATGGACGGTCTGTCACGAAAGTTGGCAAAGTACGCTGCTTCTGTAAGATGGAAGCCCGAGCACTACAATCCATCAGCATGCCGTTGAAGGCGCCACGAGACAAACACTTGCGCTACTGACCTAGATGCGCTTTGATGTATGGGTCATCACCCGCATAATTGGAAGAGAAGGCGGCAGCTTCATTCGCCTCGGCTCCTGCTTTGCCCTGATCGAGCCCTTGCAGTCGCATGGCAAGGTCAGACATGGTGCCGGTGGCTAACGCTGCGGAAGCACCCACTGCCGGAGCAGCCTTGCCGATGCCCAGTCCGCCTTGGGCCGCAGATGCGGACGATGGAGGGCTGACGTGCATCGCACTGGCTTGCAGCGTGGAGGGTAGGCTCGCCTGTGAAGGCTCTTGTTGCCGGCGACTCAGCAGATCAGCAGCTTCCGACGCATCGTCAGCTGCCTTGGACTTCTTCTTCAGCTCAGCGAGCGGCCCCAAGGGCGTACCCATCTCACTCGGAACGCGACTGCCTGCCAGTCGTCTCCGAGCGATCTGATTCGAGAAGGAATCTTGTGCCATCGATCGACCGGACCCTTGACCGACGGACTGCGTATCGAGCTTGCCAGTTCCGGCGTTGCCCTTTCCAGCGCCGCGAGAACTGAAGAGAATAGTGAGGGGTGTTACACCTTCGATGCTCTGCACGCCTTGAGCGCCCTGGCGAATCAATGGCTTAGAGGTGCCATCATCCCCTGAGGTGGCAGTGGAAACGGATTGCCTAGAGCTGAGTGTCGTCGTTTCGATGAGAGCCTCTGTCAGCTATTGATGGAGGCGGAGCAGCGCTTTTCGCTTACCTCGACTGTCTTGCCAGCTTCCATATGTAGTCGCGCAGGGCTACCAGCTTGATCTCGTCGTCAGGTGCCAGCCCAGCCGCGCGGAGCTTGTCCAAGTAACCGTCGTCCCTGTCCCAAGGTAGCACGGTCACTTGTCAGCCAAGCGCGATGGGACTGCACGACAGATCGAGCGACTCACTCCTCGCTTCGTGGCAAAGCAGTTTTCCAAACATGCTTCCCCTTCTTTTGAGCAATTAGGCTAATGCCTTCCCGAGCAAGTCCATTTTTGTGCGAATCCGCCGTCGGCTTCCAGAAGCTCGTTTTGCCAACTCGTGCAGCCCACATTGTGGCTGCGCTGAGGACAGGTCGGCTGAGCGGCGTCTTGACGAATTGCAGCAGCTCCAACTCTGTGGTGCAGGCAAGGTCCGCTCGCAACAACGGCCGAATTTGCGGATATATGAGAGCCCACACATCTGTCGTCGACGAATTTGCGCACGTGAGCTCCAGAAGCGTCGCGGCTCGCAGTCGCAGCCAGTAATTAGGGTGACACAGAAATCCCACTGTACAGCCCACTACGTCCGACAGCTTTGCTCGAGAGACGACTTGCCCTCGGTAGGGCAGCGAGTGCTCTGCTTGCTGGATATCTCGAGTGGCGCCGGTAGAACGCACGAGGTTGGTCGTCGTCGAGGAATCTGCTCCGAATAGCTCGATAAGGCTATCGAAGACTTGCAGCACGACGGCTTCCTCAGGGTCGGACAAGGCTTGAAGCATCAGAGGCAGGATATACTCCTCAAAGCTAGCTTGGCCAACCACATGAGCCACGCCGACGATCGCGTCGAAGAAGGAACACCGCAATGCCCACGATCTGTCGTTGAGATAGGTGATCATGTGGCTCAAGAAAACGTCATTGGTCGAGGTCGTGCCAAAGAAGGAGCAAAGAGGAGCGATGTTGGCCAAAAGTGCCCTCTTGACAGAGATAGAAGTGTCAGTGAGCAGCGTAGTGACTTGCTCTTGGAAGAAGGCTCGCAAGCCATTCAACTGCGCGTCGTAATTGCCTTCCTCGGCTTGCGGATCCAAAGTCGATTGGCTCGAACTTTGGTCTTCACATGCTGCATCCCCGCCAAATTCTTCGTAGGCGTGGTCACCATCCAGGCGAAGTGCCTGTGCTAATTGCAGGAAGCGCTCCCCGCTTTCGCACAACTTGGCAATGCACGATGCGTACAACGTCCGCACCATTGGCGAGGCGTCTGTGGCCAAACGTCGCAGATTTGGCATGAGGTACTCTTGAAAGACGATCGTGTTGGCCGGCGTCAGCTTGTCGATCAACAAGAGGAGTTGCGCGATGGCTCGCACAGCAGAGGCGCGGACACTCTCAACGTCTTTCAAGAGCGCAATCATGTACGGCAAAACGCGGTCCAATTTGACTTCTTCCGTCAGCCAGCCGGACGAGAGATGGAGAAGAAGCTCCAATGCTCGCGTCTTGCTAGAAGGCCTGACTGCACTTCGCAGAGACGCCAACAGAGGCGTCAGGATCAACAACGCTGGTCCGTCTGTAGTCGCCGAATGCGTGCGCCTGCTGAGCGCTTGAGGTGCAAGACCTGGGATATTGAGCTGGATGGGAAGCACGCGTTCGGCCGCTTGCCTGCTTCTGGCATTCTTGTTCGCATTGTATGTGGCTTCGACGTCGGCATCGCCAAAAGGGTCGTCACTGACTGCGCCTGCCATGATTGGACGTCGGCCTCCGTCCAGATGATGGACTATTTCCGACCACTCTTCGAACAATCGCTCGATGCGTTCGTCTGATTCCGCTCTTACTTGTAAAGAGGCATTCCCAGGCAGACCTTCTGGCTTGCCTGAAGTAGACGCAGCAGCGCTTTGTGTTGGCGTGTTGGCCTTGGAGGGTGGTGCCAGCGGTGCGCTCATTGCTGCTGCTGCACTACTAGCAGCATCCTGACGAACAGAGGTAGCGCGACCCGAGAGCTTCTGAAGCTCGGTCAAATATGGCCCCATGAAGGAGTAGAAAATTTCTGGCAGCGCGTTGCCTCTAGCTCGACGCAGTGCGTCATCAAATGAGCCGCGGGAAGAGGGCGAAAGCTGAACCATGCAGCGTATCAGAGTCCGAATGTCCGCGTCCTGTACCTCCGATAGCGCTTGCTCAACGTCGTATTGCTTTTCGCGATACTTGAAGAGCTGGGTGAGGGTGAACGTCGGAGATCCATCCCTCCACAACTCTGCAAGAACGCAGCCCATGGAGAAAACATCCATCTGCTCCGTTACGCCCGTAAAGCGCTCGAGGCTGACCTCCGTCACGGCGCCCTGCGCATCTTGACGGCTCTCCTTTGCGCTCGAGTGCCCCAATCGGCCCTCTCGTGCGGGTGCTGTAGATTCGCTGCTTGGCGGCAGTCGCTCTGTCTCCTTGTAGAATCGCTCCGGTGCGACGTAGCATGTTCGACGGCCCGAGGTGCCAAAGAAATAGTTGAAATCTGCCGGGTCATGGAGTGGTAGGTAGCATGGCTTGAAAGAGGACGAGAAATCGGTGACGTAGACGTTGAGGGAGGACGTGATGAGGATGTTCTCGCACTTGAGATCGCCGTGAGACATCTAGAATGCAGCCAGCCCATTGGTCAGAAGATCTGCGACTGTCCCGAAGTGGGTTGCAGGCAGGCAGGCAGCCAGCCAGCCAGCCACATACCTTTCTAGCGTGCACATCTCGCAGGGCGACCAGCAGCTGATAGGTGATCCACTTTTTCTCAATCGTCGTCAAGAATGGCCGCGTGCTGACGGGCCACGTAAATCTCATCGTCAGCGCGCAGCGACGGGGGAGGACTGGATAGCGATCATCTTCTCGCATGTACGCACCTGATACGATCGTAGAGATTGTGCGCCAGCCACTGACGCAGCACGTATCCCGCTGTGCTCGTCTCCGCCACCTTTTGATAGGTCAGCACGTGAGGCACATCTGCCAGCGCTTCCCTCTCGACTGTGAGGGGTGCACGAGCATGGGCGTCCAAAGGCTGAAGTCAGTTTGGGAGCAGCCGCCACTGCTAGTAGTGCCCTGCTATCACGCACTTTTGAGGAGCTGCATCATTGGTCTGAGAGACATGGAAGCATCCGGCTTGAGGTACGCTTTGACCACCACTTGACCATGTCTATGCTTCGCTCGAGCTGCTCTCAAGAAGCGCGAAGAGCCCATACTGTTGCAAGCAGGAGGCGTAGACATGGATGAGCATGAGCGTGAGCATGCGCATGCGCATGAGCATGAGCATGAGCATGCGCATGAGCATGAGCACGAGCGCCAGCGCGAGCACCATGGCAACAAATAGCACTGTCGCACTCACCTCTGATCGTACTGCAGCTCCCCATCCGCTTCCTGTATCAGATTGCCCAGTCCCACATTGGGAGGCAAGCGCGACCCAACCGCTCCACTCGAGCTCGTCGTATTGCCCATCTCTTCTGCAACGCGCAAGCGGGGCTCTTCGAGCGTGGAGCGTGGAGCGTGGAGCGTGGAGCGTGGAGCGTGGAGCGTGGAGCGTGGAGCGTGGAGCGCGAATCGAGATGGTAGAGTATGCCGTGCGTGCTACCTTGAAATGAGCGCCGCACACAACTTCATACCCAATGGCTTCCTCGCGCTGCAGCTCCGTCTAGGCGCGGAGATGCTGCATGCACACAAGCCTCGATCTGCGCCCAGGTGAAGCGTCTCATATACCAGCGAGCCAGTCGAAGGGGAGTCCTGCTGGGTCTGCGAGGGATGGATGTTGCCAGCGGCAAAAAAAGTGAAAAGGGTGCGCAAAGGTCGTCAAGGCGAATTGCGAGTCGCAGGAGATGACGGTGCATGTTGCGTGTTGCGTGTTGCGTGTTGCGTGTTCATCGCATGAACAACCTTGAACGTTCAGAGCTCGAATCTCCGCCCACATCACTCGGCTCACTCACACACACTCAGACTCATCGTGCAGCAGACTCGACTCGACCGCGTGACTTCCGACGTCCCCCTGCGCGCGCGCGCGCGCCCCCTCCACCAACGCGAGGGTACAATTCAGAGTCACGTGTGCAACGACGAACAGCCCGCCTTTGAGGACCCCCACTCTGCCTCATAATCCCTGTCCGCTGCCCAAAAAGACTGTGACTGTGACTCTTGACTCTTGACTCTTGACTAGCTTCATGCAACTGACAATCAATGAATGGTGGTTGTGATCCTTGATTTACAATCCACAATCGATCGATGCGTCCAGATTCCCCGGAACGACTCGGCAAGGACTCGCCATGCGATCCCCAGTTTTTTTTTTCGTATTCCCCCAAATCCCGTTCACCTAGCCCTACCGAGTACCGATCATGATGAGGGAGGGCGTTCGAAGCTTGACGTCAAAGTGCACACACACACACAGCCTGTAATGACGAGATGCAGTCGCCCCGCATGCCGAAGCGAATACCGAACATTTCAAGAAGTGCGGGTAGAAGGAGAAGAACTTGCACAAGCCTACGCAAAGGGTGGGGCAGCGGATTCTTTGAGCCTCCAGCGACCAGGCGATGACACGCATCCATGCGCCATCCTCGCACGGTCAGCCGAGGCGCGTCGTAAAGCGGCACGAATAATGCAAGCACATGGACATTCGAAGACTTTCTTTCTTTCTGAACTGCAACGGGAAAAGATTGGCAAGCACGCGTCTTCTATACATTCTTGATTCAAAAGCATCCTCTACTCTGCAGCACTGCGAGTCTCGGGCAGCAGTCCGTTGGCCATGAGAAGCCGTCTATAAGTCTCCGCTTGCGCCTTTTCCACTTCTAATTCGCGCCTTAAAGAGCTGTTCACAAAGCGATCCGGTTCGCCCGGACAGAAGAGAGAGAGCCGGGGGGGGGGGGGGGAGCATGCGTCAGCTGAACAGATCCATCAAGTACGTATCAAACTTTGGACTCACCTGTTAAGCATGTTTGCTTCGTTGCGCGCCGATTTGCTACTCTTCACCTCTCTTCTTAGCGCAGCCAATTCCTCATCCCTACTGCCTTGCGCATCTTCCCACATCCCATCCAACTCCTCATTAAAGGCCTTTTCAAAAAGCAGGCAAACCTGCGATCAGCTTTCCAATCAAGTCGGCCTTTTTGGCCTGGCGCGATTCTCGTGCTCACCTTGTGCAGCGCTGTATTTTCCAACCTGCCATCCTTCTCCAGCTGAGTCAACAATTCGCATTTGCGCTTCAACACCTCCACCTGACTCTGCATCTGTCTCATCTCTCCAACATCCCTTCTCAAGCCCACCGTCTCCGCTTCCAAGTCCCGCAAATCCTTCTGCAGGCCGAGCACCGCAGACGTTTCTGCTGGTCTCGCCTCATCTTTGGCGCTCGACATTCTCGCGAGATGTTCCTGCAGTGCTACGAGCTCGTCCGCCGCGACGACCTGTTTCTCCGTCGCCTCTCCGATCCAAGCGTTCAGGAACTTCAACAGCTTGTCCGCGTCGCGCGCCTCGAGCCCAGGACCATCGCCGATGCTTCTCCTCTTCAGACCCTTCTCCACCTCGTACACCTCTTCCTGAAGCTCTTTCAGATCTGCTGAGTGCGCCGCACAACTCGAGACGAGTGTTTGCAGCGTGCGCTCCATCTCGCTCCCTTGCGGATCTTTTTCTGCGGATATCGAAGAAGCAGACGAAGAGCCCATCCAGTCAGCCTCCGAAAGGCCTGATCTGGTCCGCGGTCTGCCGTCGCCTTGATCCTTCGTTGATGTCGCTCTTCTAGGCCCAATAGGACTAGGACCTCTTCCGTGCTGTAGACTCTCGCTAGCAGAAAGACAGCTCGACTGCTGTCGGCTTCCATGGGATCGCTTCGGTGCCCGTTCAGACGCATCGTCATCAGGAGCAGATCGTTTGGATGCAGAAGTGACTCGCTTTGCGACGCGTGGCCCATCCGCTTCGAGCTCGCTCGGAAGTGCATGCGCGCCAGCTGGCAGCCCAGCAGACGAGCCAGGCACGGGTTTCCGCCTGACCGGCGGTGATCTGGGCGAGAGCGGTTCGCCTTCTTGCTCATGCTGAGACGGTCGAGCAGGTGTGCTCCTGGTGCGTTGTCTGGCCGACGCATCTTTCGAAGGAGATTCTGCACCCGCCAATACATCCAGTCTCTGGCCTGATCCGGAAGCGCTGTACCTCGGCGTGAGATCGCACTGATCCGCGCTCAGGTCCCCGATCGAAGTGTTTGCTTCTGCGCCCAAAGAAGCCGCTCTTCGGAACCTATCCGGCGTATTGGAGGACGCGTTGCCGCGGAGGGGCACGCCAAGCCTGGCCGGTGTGCCAGTGCCATGTTTCAGGTAGGCCTGCACGTCCGGACTGTTCTGAGCCAGGGCGCCACCGGCCGAGAAGCCCCTGAGCATCTCTCGACTCCCGACGCTGGTCGCGGCAGTCGAGTATGTCCTGGCGCTGATAGATTGAGCGGCTCCGCTGAGGCTGCTGGTCTTGCTGTGGGAGCTCTTGGTCCTCCTTGTGCTCGCACCAGTAGCTGGCGATCCCCGCGTGTAAGCGACGTGCCCGTTGGATAAGGCAAAAGGATCAGCTGCAGAGTTCTTCACACTTCCCGGTGTCCCAAACAAATTCCGGCTGAGCGTTTCCAGGCCTTGCGCGACTCGGCCCCTGTGACTACTCGGCGTGGTCGGTGTGCCCATTCCAAAGGCGTGATGGGAAGGATCAAAGTCGTGCATCCTTTTGATGGCGTGAGCGCCAAGAGTGCGCATCTGATCATCGAGGTCTCTGAGAGGTAGCAGCATCTCCTCGTCATCCTCTCGCGAACCCTTGATGGCTGTCGTGTAGGAGAAGCGACCCGTGTCTTCATCGATCGAGTGGATCCGAAGCGTAGCATGTGGAGGTGCGAGCTCGGTTCCAAAGGGCAGTTGATCGGCTTCTCCATGTATGTCCACCTGCAAAGCAACAACGCTCTTGCTTGTCTCGGCCAAGAAGGCTCTCCTAGTGTACACGTTCCAGTAGGTCAATCGTCTGACTGGTATTTCGTCTGCGCTTTGCAAGCTCTCGGAAATACTGCACCGCACGTAGCTCCGTCCCTCCTTCGTCTTGGCCATAGCTTGTGCTCTCCAAAGGTTTTCCAGGAACCTCATCTTCTCCGACCTGGCTGATGATCCGCCTGGAGCATTATCGTTGCCGTAGCCCGCAGCCAAAGCTGGAGTGGTCTTGCCAGGGGACAAGGCGCTGCTTCCCAGGCTCGCATTGTACGTGTCGTGCGTAGCGTAACATCTACTCAGTCTGCCTGCCCACTTCTCGCCGGAGCAGTGCGCTGGGCCTTTGGCAAAGCGCAGCACGAAATCGTTGCCACCAGCATCCACCGCCTTGATGTCGCTGAGATCCACAGTACCTCTGAATCCCAGTTCCATCTTGTTGCTTGCAGCTTTCGAACTCGATGAAGACGTCCCGCTGCGCTCCACAAATGTCCTCATCTGGTCTGCGAGCCGATTGATGTCTTCTAGACCGACCATTTGCCTAGCGCAGATGGAAGTAGAAGATCTCTTGAGGATGACCAAGCAGTCGTCAAAGAGGAACAAGCTGCAGTGCTGCACCCTGCCGGTTCCCACGGCAGCAGCACCAGCAGCAGCGCTCCCACCTGGAGCGACACTGCCAGGCGAAAAGGCAGCAGCAGCAGCTGGCCCAAAGAGGTCCATGGGAAAGTCTTCGACATCTATGCAGTCGATGAAGCCTCTGTGCACGCTGATGAGCCCGTCGGGAAAGCCATCGATGCTGCGTTTGCAGCCCCACATGACTGCAGCTCTTCGCGTCTTCTCGTCCACTTCGCAAGAAGCTATGCGGCCAGCCAGGCCGACGGCTTCTTGAATGCGCGCTCGACGAGGATCGCCAGGCTGCATGTGACGCAGTATGGCGTCGAGCAGGAGCGTGTATCGTGGGATGCGCTGCACGGGCTCCATGAGCAGTTCTCGCAGGCCAATGTTGCCCATGCCCTGCACTCCGTATTTCGTGCGCTGGACCAAAATGTCAAGCTGTCAATGGGCTGCGGAAAATACGAGAATCATGCTGGGTCGAACCCGCTCACCTCTACAAAATCTCTGAAAGCGCGATTGGACCTTGTCATGGACTGCTCGATGTGTTTCGCCTTTTCAAAGTTGGCAAAATACTCGTTGTAGCACGCAAAGCAAGCCATCTAGTCGTGTGCAGGGGTTTGCGAGCTCAGTCAGAGTCTGAGCCTGGGTACATCGCAACGCCTTGATTCTTCGCAAGTCACTCACGTGCCGGTGGACCACGTCGCCCAATCGGTCGCGATCCCTCTTGCCACCCTTGACGCACTTTTCCAGATCGCTCAAAAATGCCCTGTTTGCGCCCACAATCTCTCCGATGTTCCCAAACAAGCGCTGAGCTTCATATCGAGGTATGACCGCTGTGTCCGAGTCCACGGCGAGCGCTCGGAGAGGAGCTGCATAGCGCTACATTTGCGCAGTGTGGCATGGTGACAAAAAAGAAGCGCGATGAAGATTAGCGATTGGACTTTGCACGTTGCTGCTCCGCGCTCCGCGGTCCCGCGATGCGCGATGCGCTGCACTCACATTTGCCAGCGTATCTATTCTTCTGACGTAGCTCCTCTCCGTCTCTAGCAGCTCCGCCAGTCTGGCTTCGAATGCGCTCGAGCTCGAGCTCTTTGGCTTGTCTGCCGATGCGGCGTTGCCAGCGTCCCACGCTGCTGTCGCGTTGCCTGCCCCGCGCTGATCGGGAGCGAGTATGCGGGATATGCTCTGCTCCGAGTCGCTGCGTGTGAGACCCAATCCGGGAGTGTTGACTGCGGAATGAGGAAGAAAAGCGTCGGAAGTGTCGATGGCCCCAGATTGATCCAGCACCACACTGCCAAGGTGCGGCAGGATGGCGGAAGCTGCACGCAGCACGCAGCACGCAGCACGCACGCACGCAAACCCACACGGCCGCAAAGGATACGTCAGCTCTGCACCGCATCCTGCCCGCAATGGCCCACACCCGCAGCCACATCGGTAGCCACGCCCACCTACACACACACACACACACACACACACACGCTCATTCGCAACTCACACGCTCCGCCTTCTGCGGCTCTGGCCTGCACATACGCTGCCTGCTCCCCTTCTGCCTTTTCCAGCACCGCGTCCCAGTGATCCACGACGAGCAGCATTCTCTCCTGCCTCCTCTCCTCTGCCTCTCTCATCATCCTGTCCGTAGTAGGCGACTCGGCGGTGAATGTGGTGTTGATGGGAGTCTGCGCTTGCCTGCTCGATGGCGTCCCGATCGCAGCAGCGATGGGCGTGGAGCGCGAGCCTGTGCGAGCGTGCGATGGAGAGTGAGTGTGAGAGTGAGATTGAGCATGCTGACGGCGCGCATCGCCAGTGTCGATGGAGGAGCGGGCAGGGGGTCGCACAGAAGCGTCGAGCATCTGCATCTGCGCGTTGGAGTCTCGCCTCGCCGCCATCGCAGCCGCAGCCGCAGCCGCGCCAGCACCACCACCACCACCACCACTAGCACCAGCACCAGCAACAGCGCCGACATGCTCATCATCGCCTACCCAGCTTCCCATCCTCTGCCGCGGATCTTTGGTGGGGCTGGGTGGTCTGGAGCTCTTGCCGCCCATGCTGCTGCCGCCCATCCTGCTCAAAGAAGGAAAAGCCGGGCCAGCGCGCTTCTCCCATTCCCTGCTCTCGTCTGCGTGACTGTGACTGTGACTGTGACTGTGACTGTGATTGGGTGACTGCACGCTGTGGGAGCTGGAATGCGCAGGACTGCTCCTCGCAAGGAAGCGCGTGGGTGAGACGGAGCGGAGGCGAGGAGAGACGTTTCTCAACAGGCTCCTGCCAAATGTCTGCTTATCCGCCTTGCTGGGCGATGCAGGCGCGCAGTCCCTCGCCGCCGCCGTCGCCGCCGTCGCCGCCATGGCCGCCATGCCGCTGCTTGGCGAGTCTAGAGTGTTGGAGAAGGAGTCGCCTCTTCCTCTGCCCATGACGCGCGATCCGTTTGGTAAGGCAGCTGGAGAGTATGGCCGAGTGCGAGTTTGAGTTTGAGTGAAATGCTTGTCTGCGCGACTTGTAAAGGACTCGAGTGTAGCCGAGGCTGAGGAGAGGTGCGTCTTGAAGGGAGAGTGTGGGCGCGACATGCCGGTGTTGCACGCATCAAGTGGAGAGTGGAGAGTGATGAGGCAGGCAGGCAGGCAGGCAGGCCGTTGCGAGTGATCAGTGTAACTTGTCGATTGAGCGAGAGTCGATGGTGGACGGAGCGATGGGAGCAGGGCGGGGCGGGGCGGGGCGGGGCGCGTGATGGAGCAGAACACAGCATTCGCATTGGCTACAGTCACGAGTCACAATTAATTCATCACGAGTCTGACTGAGTGTGGTCGGGCGAATGTCTCGCATCTCAGCGCGACCCATATATGCAAGACAAGCTGCGTTTCATGTCTCGGGGTCAACATGCAATCAATGCAGTCACAATAGTCACGAGTCACGAGTCATCATTCTCATTCAAATTGCTCTGCTCGATTTCAATCAATCACATACCCTGCCATGCCACGCTTGTATATACGCACACACAAAGCATCAACAACACTCGCGTGATTCCACCCAATTCGATCGCCTTGCTCAAGCGATCATTCTGATTCTCACACTTTGACTCTCATGCTGCATGCAATGCTATACCGCACCGCACCGCACCGCGACACCATCCATCTTGTGCTATGACGATGGACTCCAGCGACTCACGGAACTTGTCAATCACAATCGTGAATGCCCAATTCTTGAATGCGATCCGAAATCGCGAGCACGGCAATTGAGAGACCCCCCTTTTTAGCGCTGCTCCGCGGGGCTTTGCTTGGGGTAGCAGATAAACACACGCGCACGCGCGCGCGCGCGTCATGCATCCCGCGGGAACAACACCGATCGGATCTCTGCTGCATGTGCGCGCATGCAGCAGCTATGCAAAGTCCGCCTGCTATCCGCGCGCAACCCTCGCATGATGCAACACGAGCGCGCGCGTGTGCGCAGCGAGTCGTGATCGTTTCAGTCACGTGAGTCAGATCATCTTGACCATCACGTGTTATCGATTTCCCACAATTCAATCTGAATGAACTGATGAATCAAGAATCAAAAATCTTGAATCTTGAATTTTGAATCAATTCAGTCCAAGGGTCACGTGAGTCTCATGATCGATTCATCCATACGTGAGCTCTTACGCATTCATCCTCGCAGTCAGCAAGTCAAGAGTCCATCGATCAATAATGATTCGAGGTTCACGATTTCTTGATCGCTTGGTCTGACTTGTGACTCGACCCTAGTCACGAGTCATGCGCGCGCGCTCTCCACTTCTGAATCAAGAATAAAGAATTTGAGTAAATCCCTCGCGCCCGGTGGAATCTGTTTGCGGTCCAGATGACATCATGATGTTGAATTCTCATCACGTTTCAGATGGGATCTGCTTCCTCGTCTGGCCTTGCGTGAACGGCTTGCCGTCTATTTTGTCGACAAGGGCGTCTTCATCCGCTCAACGTCACTCATCACCGCGTCGCCTCGCCACTCTTGACTGAGACTCGATTTGAGACACCGACTTCGATGGCCCATTCACGATGCTCGTGACGTGACTATTCAGACTGCGTGGCATTCCCACACCCTCGAAAGTCCCCATTTGCAGTCACAAGTCCACACAGACTTGATGAGTGAGATTTGCACACCTTGAGTCACGAGTGCGATTGTTGAAGGCAGCAAGCAGGACTTTGACTGGGAAGACTTGTCTCGCGTGACGAAAGATGAGCTCTCCCCCTTCTAGCCACGAACAACGTCTCACCTGCGTATGCCAGACAGAGGCCCGCCCCCGCCACGCGTTGCATCATCGATGCGCACGCAAGACCGGACCGGACCGACCGTCTATGACGCGCATGAAGGCCGAAATCGATGCAAAACATCCGCGACTCGCGACTCAGCACTCAGACTCTGACCTGACTGGGCGAGGACCGAGTCGTGCGTGCATGTGACCAGATCGAGAAAGAATACCCCGGGAGCGTCCAGCGATAGGCCTATCAGCCGCCCATGATGATGACGACGGCGTCACACGAGTCTGGTCGATGAAAGGGCGGGCGCGGGCAACCCTGATCTGAGATTTGTGCAAATTCGATGCAAAGAGTCACGAGTGCCGGAAGTGACGACGTCGAAGCTTGCCGACGTCACAACAGTGAGTCTTCAAGGGGCTCACTCACTCACTCACCGCTTCCAGGCATGCATCGAAGCGATTTGAATCTGAATGCATGTCCCAAAGCAGAGCCCACAGGGCAAGCAGAGCCAGCCAGCATTGACGCTTGCTCGCCTGTCGGACCCACGAACAAATGAAGCTATAGCTTGTGGATGCGATGCATGCGTGGGGCAAATCACTATGCGATGCGATGCGATGCGTTGCGGTGCGTTGCGGTGCGGTGCGGTGCGGTGTGGTGCGTAATGTCGCAATCACATCGAATGCTAACCCTAACCCCAACAGCTCCACAAGAAGCAGGTGATCGCACGGTGGATTGATGAGCGGGTGAAGTCTGACGTAGCTAGCTGCACTTCCTTTTGGTGACGGAATAGTGTGAGTCCTGAGTGTGAGTCTACGATCGAAGAGGTGGGTCGGGTCTTCTTCTCTCGTGACTTGATCCGCCCGCCATCGCACCTCGCACCTCGCACCTCGCACATCGCTCGCATGCGCTTGCTTATGCATGATTGACAGGGCGTGGGCGTGGGCGTGGGCGTGGGGGTGGAAAAGTGATCGCGCGCGCGAGGCCGTTCGTTGATGCTGGACCCTGAGTCCGTGCGTGCGTGCGGATTCACGATTGCTTATGTTAGCGCGCGCCCCTGCTGAGCGTGGCTTGCGTTGCGATGTGTCAGCTGCCTGGGTCGCGAGTCGGTCAGTCGATCACCAGCCAGCCAGCCAGCCAGCCAGCCGGTAGAAGCGCACGTCGTCTCTTCCAAGCGACGTCTCGAGACTCGAGACTTCTCAACTGCCGAGTGGCCCGGCTTACGTTAACGGCGAGATATGAAGATGATGGCATGATCAGAGGTTGTACGGAAATGGCAGCAAGCATACAGTTGAGTACCCACCGTGGCAAGCAAGCGGACCAATCCGCGACTCGTGACTACAGCGCTCTCTGTCTGTCTGTCTGTCTGTCGTGCCAGCCAGCTTGCTTCAGACGAGCAGCCGGGCGATGCAGCTGGATGTTCAAGTCACACCATGGTGGAGTTTGAGTGTGGAGTTTGAGCGCGAGACCAGCAGGACCGACCAGCTTCTGGCTCGGGTCGAGTATAAGACTTGGCCATTTGGCGTGCGTGCATCACCACTTTGCCCCCTTTCCCCCACTTCCTTCATCGCATTCGCATCAACGCGCATTCCACCCCAAACAATTTCGCTTTCCGCACACTACACAAATCCACCCAGCCCCCACCAAAATGTCTTCCGACGAGCAAGAGTTCAAGCCCGAGAACAGCTCCAACGAGCAAGCTCAATTGGCCGAAGACCGCGGGGCCGAGCAGGCCACTGCTGGTGCCGCTTTGGATGCCGAGGATGGAGTGAACAAGGACAACATCATCGATGATGAATCCGGACCTGGCGGCCGCTCCAAAAGGGCTACACGAGGTGACCCTACCAGCGCAGTGAGTAGCGGCGTCAAACACAACAGAGAGAGAGAGAGAGAGAGAGAGAGAGAGAGAGAGAGTGTGTGTGTGTGTGTGTGTCACGAGCGCGAGGACCCTTAACTCAGGGGACTCGCCTCGGCGGCGGCACAGCACACGCCGTTGTTGGCCGCGCTGACCTTGACATCGCATCGCACACTCTGACCTGCATCGTGCCATCCCTTTTGATCAGGACAAGGAGATCGACGCAGATGTCGAGCAAGCCGAGCAGGAGGCCTGAGAGGTGATCCAGCGCAGCAGCAACCTTTGCCGTTCGGGCGACTCGAAGCGCAACTTGAGCCACACTACCACCACACCACACCACACCACACCACACCGCCTCTCGTCGTTGCCATCGCTTTCGGACCTTGGCGCAAACAGACGGCTGGTAGACTAGTTCGCGAGCACGACGAGGAAGCATACAATCGTGTGCATATGACGCCTTGCCTTGCGCGCACCACACCACCCCCTTGCTCGTTTCTTGAATGTAATGAGGATGTACGTATCTTTTGCGATAAAAGCATTCACCATTGCCCCATCCTGCCAGCGTGATCTGCGCACTCGACACAAGCGGTGAACCTCGCGGTGCGCTCGAGACTGCTCAGCTTGCTCACGAGCGGACTTGGTCTGCACTAATTGATCGCTCGCTGTAAGTGCAGCAAAGACTCCGTGCGCTTGATTCGGGGATGAGTCATTCATTCGGCGAGCCACCTGCGACTCCAGCGATGATGTGGTCATCGATACATGATGAGATCATCTTGCGACTCGTGAATACGGCTTCGTGATTAGATGATTCACGATTCACGATTCACGATCAGAATGTGAGCTTGAAACCTCGTCCGCGGGAGCGAGGCTGCCGTGCACGCGCAAGTCTCTCGTGCGAGATCCGCGATTGTGATCCAAGCGCCAGGCCGAGTATGGACGCGGGCGTGCGTGCGTGCATGCATGCATGCAGTCATGCAGTCACAGTCATGGAAGCGCCCTCCCTGCCTCCCGGCGAACGCGGTGTTGATCGCTCTCCGCCGCATCCAGGCTGGCTGAACAGCATCTGCACGGCGGGCGACTTTTGGCTTGGCTCGCCCACTGAAATCACATCACATGCCACACCCCAATCCATCCCCTCTCCACTCACGACGCACGACGCACGACGCACGACTCCACGACTCACCTCTTTGGTCCTCATGCCGACACGCTCGACCACCTTGTAGAGCAAACCCCGTCCTCCTGTCCTCTCGCGTATCACGATCAGTAGTGCACCAAGCATGGCAGCTGCAGCGTCGGGATTGGGTGGAGCAGGATCAGCGGTTGTGGCGCTTGGTGGGGGCGGGGGTGGCAGCGGCAGCGGCAGTGGCAGTGGCAGCCAAAGCGTGGTGGACCTCTCGCTGGATCTGCTTCGACGTTTGCCTCCCTCTGACATCTCCCACAACTTGTCCAAATTGCTGTCCACCTGTCCCAATTCGCTCTCGGAGGATCTCATCGGCTCGGTGGATGAGCCGCCGGTGGTCAAGGTGGATGACAGTCCAGAAGGTGCGGGCAGGGAGTTTCTGGCTTGCGATTACAATCGGGATGGCGACTCTTGGCGCAGTCCGTGGAGCAATAGATTCTTGCCAGAGGAGCTGGAGGATGGCACTCGACCCAGTCAACGTCTAAGGCAGCTGGAAGAGAAGGCCATGGAAGCATTCAGCACGTACAGGCAGCTGTGCGTAGTCGCGGTTCAAGCGGGGCATGATGGAGCACTCACTTGTTCGCTTGCATTGTGCGCGCACACACACACACACACCCCCACACCTTTTCCATCGCGCAGGTATTACGAGTCTGGCATCTCCTCTTGCTACTTTTGGGATCTGGACGACTCAAACTTTGCGGGCGCCATCGTCATCAGATCTCAGCTCTCTGCAGGCAGGGTGCAGGGTTCGTGGAATTCGCTGCACGTGTTCGAAGCGACGGAATTGGGCGTCAAGAGCGTGAGCTACAAGTTGACCAGCACCGTCATGCTCAGCTTCGACGTCAAGCAGCAGCAGCAGCAGCAGAAGGGCGACAAGGAAGGCAGCGCAGCGGTTGGGGACGGGAGTGGGAATGGCAAGGAACAGCAAAAGAAGGGCAACATGAACTTGAGCGGAAGCCTGACCAGGCAGGTGAGTTGGCACCTCGTACGCTCCTCCTCCTCCTCATTGCCTCGGGTGCTGCGGGTCTTGCATCCATGCTTTGTGTCTGCTCATCTTGTGCTTTTCCCCCCCCCCCTCCCTCAGTCGGAAGAGAAGTTGCCCCTTCCGGATTACGCATCGCACATTGCCAACCTGGGCAAGATGGTAGAGGAGATGGAAGCGAAGCAGAGAAATCTATTGCAGGTGAGCTGCTCCCCTCCTCCATCGTAGTCTCCCTCTTTCTCGAGGCCCTGTTGACCTCGCCGCCCGCATGTCGGGCTTGTCCACCACCACCAGACCGTCTACTTCGGCAAGACTCTCGACGTGCTCAACTCTGTTCGAAGTCCGGAGTCTCTAGACGCGAAGCGCAAAGAGAGGGAGCTACAAAAGGAGCTCATGGGACTGTGGAAGAGGCCTGGAGTGGAATCGTGATGGTGCCGTCAGGACGACTTCACTTTTGATGGTGGAGGGCCTCTCGCTGCAAGCTTTGGCTAGGTATTGTAGACGTCTCCTCTTGTCCTTGAGATCATGCCAAAGCCAACTCCTTTGTTACGCAACGGCGTTTCCTTGCGGAATGCGCATTGACCCCAACCCACCTAGTCCATTTGTCTCTGTCAATGGAGGGTCTTGCAATTGCAATCCTTTCATAGATACAATGCAACGCTAACGGGCGGATTGCGCCAATCGGCACAACTCTTTTCCAACCGAGAGGTCGTCATGTCCCGTCACACACATGTGCTTGACCTGCTTTGGTGCCTCTCGGGGAGGTGTAGTGCGGCGCGTCCTGTAGGCGACGAGGCTGTGGGAGAATATGGGACGAGTGGTTTCAGATAGAGTATAATGGGTGCACCCTTATTCGGTCGGCTCAAGAGGCTTGCAGCGACCTCGGAGGCGATGGATTGCCCAATGGTGCCGAATGCTCCTCAGCTGGAAGTGAGCAGCGATACCTTGCGCTTGATCATGTGCAACTGGTATGAGCGCAGTGAGCTTCGCCAGAACTCGTGTAGACGAGCAGTGAATTATAGTGCATAGTACCACACATTGCCCTCTTCGTGAGAGGTTTTCGATTTGTGGCAGCATTTGCCTACATGCTATACGACGAGAAGCGTGCTAGCTGGAGAGTGTCGAATTTGGTTGGTTGAATGCAGAGGATCTGCCAGGGCATCCCTGTGTGTTGAACACCACTCGAGGCGACGAGAGGGTGAGGCATCCTGATCGCATGACCAGAGCCTCGCAACCGACTGCCGTCAACGTGATCAGCGTGACCTTATCATGCCTGGCATTTGTATGGAAGGAGCCCGTCATGAGTCTGCGAACAATTTGTTTTGTCAGTGAGAGCGCAGAAAAGGAATCGCCGGCATACTCGTGATGCCGTTGGAGCCGAGATAAAGTCAGGCGTTGCGAAGGATTGTCGAAGTGCTCTTCCCCGGATTTGCAATCTTTGTGCAAATTGGCGATGACTTCGCAGAAATGCGAGTAGCAAATACTGAGCAAGGCGACACCAGGCTGTGCCTCGCCGAGATGAAGACGATTACTTGACAGTGCTGATAGCTAGATAGTCGCCTCAGAGTTGCAAGTCACAAGGCTCGTCACTCGCTCAGTTCAAATGTGACGGGGGGGGTCATCGCCGTCTTGCCAAATGATTGCGGGCCCATGTCCGACCTCGTGCTTGGATGTTCTAGCGGTTAGAGTAGCGCGAAAATCGACACCGCCACTCGCCCCCAGAGCAGCGAGCACCCAATGCCAAAGTTCAAGCTGTCTGGAGTGGGTGATCATGTTAATGTTGCAAAATTGGACATGAGTGCGAGTCACGCCTAACGTTGAATTTTCGGATTCATTTTGTAAATTCATAGCTGTACTCAAGACTGCCAAATAGGCGCGAAGCTGCTTGCTCATAGGATTGAGGGAATGGTGCCAGAGAGGTTGATTGGTCAGAAGATGCCCATCAGCAAAGTGGCACCACCGGCCAATGATTGAAGGATCGCATGAACTTCCTGCAAGATGAGTTTTGCATTGGTGACTGTTCTCTGATTTTTTTTTTCTTCTTCTTCTTCTTTTCTTTCCCCTCGGAGCGCTCGGTCTGTCACCGCGTACGGGCGTTGAGCGGTAAGGCTGTGATTCCTGCAAGTTCCGGCAGGAAGCGACCCCACGACAAATACTCGCTGTTCTTACGCTCACGTTGTGCCCGTGACGTGCTCACAGCCAAGCGGCAAGCAGTAAGTCGAATTGGTTTGGCGTGGCCCATGACAAGGTGGCTGAGATGCTCCTTCAGCTTTTTTCTGAGTCGTGAGCTTCGTGTCCATTCTGCTGCCGGGAATCTCTGCGATGAGCGAGCATGACAAGGAATCCGACGAAGAGCGCACAGACCGCAAACGTCACGAGGCAGACCCCATCCCAAGTGCTAATCTGGGACCAAGGTTTGCAGTTCTCGAGGAACAAGAATACCAGTGAGAAGAGGGACAAGAGGATTGAGGAGCTCTTCTTCAGCCTCTCAAAGCACTGCGCCAAAGGTCCAGATCGTGTAGCTGCTGCCGATGTTGTTACGCCCTCGACGTTCGTGCCATCATCGTTTCCGCTCCGTAGGAACAGGTCGAGCAGGTCGTCGGCTGAGGCGACCGCACAGCTAAAAGGGCCATCTATTGCCTTGGACTGCAGAGATCCCGCACAAAGTGGTTGGGACATGAGTCTCCATTGCAGTCGGTAAGTCAGACCGATGAGAAGCAATAGTCTGACAATGGTGCGCCAGTGATCGCCAACGCCTGACCAGAAATTTGGCACGCTCTTGTCGACATGTTCTGGCTGGGCTGCTCCTCCCTTTGAGCTGGAGATTGGTGGCGGGGAGGAGGAGTGGATAGGCAATTTCCCTGCGACGTCCATGGCAAGCCCTTACCCTAAGTAGATCGAGCTGTGTTAGGGGCGCGATTCTGAAGGCAGATTCACGATTGCAGAGAGATCTGGTGAAGAGAAGGGCTGGGCGAATGACAGGCCTGCATTGATGACAGACAGCCTGAGTTGCAGATCGAAGATGGAAGTCACGCTCATGTGGCCTGATGATGAAACAGAAGAAGGGGATCCTCGATGGATGGCCCCCCGCCCCCCACCTCTCGACGCTGTTTCAGTCGCAATCACGAATCACACGTTCGTCTGTCTCATCGCGTCGTGATCAAGCTTGGATCTGCGAGGTCATGCAGACGACCTCGTGCTCGAAGTGTCGAGTTGGTGGTTGTTAGCGCGCAACAGATGGAGATAGCACAGCCACGCGCCATGCAGCCGAATCTGAATTGCTGCACTCGTGACTCGTGACTCATGACTCAATCAAGACTTATGCGACTCGTCTCTCTGACTCTCCAGACTGCGAAATCTTGATTGGCGAGGCTTGTTCAAGATCGGAAAGATCGAAAAGTCTTGAGTGATTGTTAGTCAATCAAGAATTGAATGAATCAATGAATCACCGATCGCAATTCGCACACGTGATGCGGGGATAGATGGCTGTGGACGCGAGACTCAAGACTCGACTCAGACTCGTCGGACTTTCGATGCGAGACCTTTTTGTTTGAACTGCGACTTTCGTTGTGCGTTTGCGCAAAGATCACCGATTCATCGGATTGCTATTCGTGATTTCTGCCTTCAAATTCCGACTTTCACACGATTGCGATTCAAATTCAGCTTTGTGATCTTCTTGATGCGTGATTGGATCAGGTCAGGTCAGGTACGGTATGGTACGGTGCGGCACGGTGCGGCACCGGTCAAAGCCACGCCGGCGGGACACGCGACTCAGACTCGCGTTTGTGACTTGTTTGTCCTCCTCGATGACCGCGAGCTTTAAATTCTGGGCCACCGACGTCATGCAGCTTGGGTCCACGCATGACAGCGGGCGTACCCTCACGGCGCGCGAGCTGAGCTTCAGCGGCTGTTGCATTTGATTCAAGATTCAGTTCAGTGATTGCGCTCTCGATCGAGCCTCGAGTCGCAGTCAGTCTTGAAATGGATCTGGCATGGTCTGGCCCTGCTGCCCTTGCTGCCCTTGCCTGTCGTCTGCGAGGCACGCCCAAGCATCGTACATGCGTCTCCTACCGTCACCCCTGCTCACCACCATCACCAACACCACCAACACCACCACCAGCACCACCACCAACGCATCGCTGCTGCTCTCAACGTCGAGGTGTGCGGGGCCTACACAAGCCTCACGACGATTGACCACTCTGCCGCTGTGCACTTGCTGACGCTACGATCAAGATGGTTCTTGGCGGACTGGCAAACAAGACGCCATTCTGGCCGGAAGCATTGTTGGCGCTGCTGATCGCCAAAGCGCTGACAGGTTCCACGTGGGCCAGCACTTGGCTCTCATCCGGCTCTGCCCCCTTGACCTTTTTGCTGCTCAAGGGTGTGAATGGGGGCAACCGCATGCTGCCTTGGTGCCCAACATGGCTGCTCCTCACCCTGCTCAACCTCACCCAAGCAGCATCCTCCACATCCTGGCTCTTTGCCGGCATCTTCACCGCCCTCTGCTGGCCTCTGATATTCTTGGCCAGCCTGTACCAATTCCAAACGGTGGCGCACCATACGAGGAGAGGTTTGAGCAAGCTGCTCCGCGTGGTTCACTTTGCAGCGGATACCGTCGCCCTATTCGACTTGCCAGCGCTGGAGATCGATGTGGATGTGGCAGGCTTGATGGTCATTCGAGGCGTCACCCTCTCCCTCTCTTCCTTGACGCTGGTAGCGCATGGCATCGAGGTGGGAATCAAGCTGTCGGACGATTTGGAGATGGCCATACAGACGGACAAGGTGACGGTCAAGCTGTTTAGGAGCATTCACGTGTCGGATGTCTTCGCCAATGTCAAGGGCGGGCAGTACGAGCAGACATTTGGCGAGCTGGAGGATGACACCAGAACGGCGGACGGTCAGGTGCTCATGGACCACCAATCATCAGCTCTACTCAGGGCAGCCGCCGGTGCTGCAGAGGGCGCTCCCGATCCTGCTGCGCTGTCCCCATCGCCCACACCCACGCCAACGTCTTCCAATGCAGATGGAATACACTCGCCCGGCAGTGCCCCTCCACTGCCAGCTCGACCCAGCGCAGCAAATGGGCTACCGACCTCTCAGCGAGAGCTTCCAATGGAAGACGCTTCGTCTGCTTCCGATCCCCGCGCAAGTGCATCTTCCCCTTCTCCCAGCAAGGTGACGCTAGCGGAAAGAATGACGGATGGCCAGGCGCCGCGTGCGGTTAGCGTCGAGCATGGCCTGGATGCTGCTACCACTTTGATAGCCGATGAGAAGGATGACCAGGCTCGTTTGCAGCGCATCTTGAGCGAAATCGAAAAGACGAGCGAGGTGAAGATTGCACAGGACCACGTCATCAGACGAATCAGCCGATTGAGGAGTCGACAGCAGAGTGATGCAGAGCAGGACGACGTTCTGGACGTGGAAGTGCCAGTGCAGCATGACCCTGCCGCTTCACCCTCGCAACCTCCGCTGAACCTAGACAACGATAGGCACATGCGCGCTGCTATCTGTACGCGTCTTCACGCCAGACCTTCCATCCAACACCCACCGCGTCAGTCGGTTCGTGTGTCTACACTGCAGAATCTGCCGCCTCCTTGGCTTCTTCGCTTGACGCACCGCTTGCCTCTGCTTTTGCGGCTCTTGTTGAACCCTCTTGCATACTTCCATCCCATCAGAATCGACTCGATCACTGCAGGAGCGTCAGGAAGGTGGATGCAGAGCATGCTGCGGTCCCAGCTCTTCAAAAGCTATGCTGACAATTCTTCCGATATTCGCAAGCTCCGCGACAAGATCGAAAAGTGGCTGTGCGACGCCAATTTCGTGCTGGGTCTGGAGCAATTCGATGGGCAAGGACTTGTACCGGTCAATACGGACCATGACATCACCTGCAGAATGAACATCGACGAGCTCACGCTTTACAGGACGGTACAAGCTCAAGCAAGCTTGAAGAAAAGCTTGCAATTAGGAGGAGCAGACGCCACTGTGCTGGTGCCCTCCATGCTGCTGCCTCACCACGATCACCTCTTGCCAACGATCGACGAACGTAAAGAAGCGCAAGAAGCACATAGGCTCAAGATCCGGCGCCATGACTCGGCGCCCAAGGTGGTGCAAGCCAAGAGAAATCTGCAACAGAATATCAAGGATGAGGCGGACGTTGGCATTTCGGTGCACATCAAGCTACCAGCTTGCTTCGACCAGGACTTGCTCAACTTTATCACAACCCTCGTGAAGGCAAGCAAAGTGATCGAGTTTGAAAAAGCATACGAAGAGGTGGCTGAAAGCCAAGTGCGCTCCTTCAAGGACTTCACAAAGCTAGTCAATACGGGAATCAAGGAGGGAGTCAAGAAGGCCACCGTCAATGCGGCTGCCAATGATACCTGGATAGCCTCTGTGGTTGGAAAGGTCGTGAGGAAACTCGAGGCTGCTCAGGGCGATGTCGGCTATTCGGGAAACATACCTGTGCCTCTCAAGATTTATCGTGATGCCGCTGTGCCGGGCGAGTCCAAGTTATTACCGTAGAAATCACGTGGATTGCATGCTACTAGCCAGACCTCTTGCTCTTTTGTTGAGCTCTATTGTGACTCTGAGAATGAATTTTCGGCCAGCAAGCCCGTTGCTAGCTCTCAAAGCACATCCCTCTCGTAGTGTACTCAGTCCCGGGTGTCCCACATTCACGGGACAGCCACGCGAAGCTCAGCAAGTGACGAGATGATTAGCTTAACAAGTCCATTATAGGTGTCTGTATGAACACCAATTGCCGGCTCAGCATTTCGCCACAAATACCCGGCTCCTCCGTAATCACCCTTGGAGCACGTCTGCACCACAAATCGCAGTAATCATAGCGGACCTGATATCTAGCTTAAGAGGTACCTTAGATTGCTGTTCAAGGCTTCACCTGCCATAGCACGCCCCTTGCGACTGCCCTCAAAGCGGAGCAGCGCTCCATGCCACCTCGCCTGCGTGCAGAATCGCTTCAGTCATTGCGAGCCTGCATTCACGATCACGACTTTGAGTCATAAGGGCCTCTTCCGCCGAATCGAGCCAGCTACCGATGCTTCTGGAAGGTGTGCCACCACGCGGGGCGCTAATGTTCAACCATCCGAGCCCGGCTCGCTGAGACACGAGTGAGCCTTTATACGCCCAGCATGCTCACGAGATTGCCGGCCTCAAGGGCACCATTGCTGCGCAAGGGAACAAAACAAAAGCCCTGCAAGCACAAGTCAAGACCTTGCCTGAGGGTGCCTGCAGTCACAACGACTTCAATGATCTTGTGAGTTGATTGCATGTCAAAAGACCACAACCTAAATCTGCCCATTCATCATGAATCCTGATCATTCTGCCTCGGATGTCTCAGTACTTGCGCATGTAGTATCTAGGTCGGATTTTGGAGGTTGAGGTTCCCCTCCAAGAGGATGCCAATCTTGTGACGCTACACATTCAACGTGTGTCCAAGGCACTTCTGGTGAGCTGCCTTTGCTAGCCAATGACTGTGATGACTCTGACTTCTATGTGCGCGTCATTTTCTTGAATTCGTTCACGTTTAGATCGCCTTTGAATATGCAACGGTGCAAGCTGAGCGCGCAACTCGATTCACTCCAGACCTAGGCGAACGTGCCCACAAAACCGAACACGCGTCTAACTCTCGTAAAATTGTGCTTGCAATGTTTGGACGCCTGTCACTGGACGAATGCGCTCACTGGCAAGCAGGAGGCGAGGTCAAAGCTGGCATGCTCGCCAGCGGCATTCAGCCTCGATGCTGTTCCTCGCTAATTTGCAAAAATCCAGATGCCTGATATGACCATCGGTAGCACCTCTCTCCGTCGCCACATGTTCAGTTATGTTTCCTCACCGACACATGCCCAGGCTCAGACTATGCGATCGACGATGTTGGTAGTATGTTTTGGTCTCATAGCTGGTCTGGGTGGTGGCGCAAGGTGCTATCTTGATTTACTGCGCGTCGTCACCTCACCAATTTAAGCCCCTACCCTCTAAACGTCTATAAATGAACTGGGCCAGTCAATGAACAGGCTTGCAGCGGTGACTAATTCTCCTGCTTTCTTTCGGTCTTGTTTCATGACAATTTCTTACTGCCACTCTACATCCACACGCAAAAAATTTAACATAACAACTCATCTTGCTTCAATCTCACACACTTTTAGCGCAGGATTATTTGCTCAGCCAGATCGACAAGTGCGAGTACAAACTGATTCCG